ACCTTGAATAGACCTTTGTTGGTCTTAAAGGTGCCATTGGACTCTAAATGTGTTCACAGCACTAGGTGATGCTTTGTATATGTATACTAAAGGCTTGCAATTAACAGGTCTCCCTGGGTTACAATTGATGATCTGCAGCCAACAGAGGTCAGTGCACCTAGAGAAAATGGCCACTTTGGAAGGTGGACTCTATGGCATTATGCCCCACTGAAGGCCCGCCTCTCCCCAAACCCTGCCCTACTCAGGCTCCACCCCCTGTATCTCCAGGTAATAATAAATAATAATAATACTTTCAATTTATTAATCGCTTTCCCCAGTGGGCTCAAAGCGATGTACAGTTACACATTTTAGACAGGGGACTAACAATGTTCATAGGGGATAGGGAAGACAACATATATTCATTTAATTGCACACGCTGTCACTGCACGGTGTAGATGTCTTCTGGCTTGGCTCAGTCATTTTCCGAACGGCTGCTTCTCGACCAAGCTTCAGGTCCTGTATGTCAAATCGCCACACTGCCACCGCCTGGCCGGAAACATCCGCTGCAGGGATTTTTGTAGCCGAGAAACTCTTCCGCCTTTTCCGAACCTTGACCAGGACGTCCCGACTGTCAGCTAACACCCTCCCACAAGGGAGATTGGTGTGCCCACCCTCTCTAAGGAGTGGTTCCCATTTTATCTACTCGCCGAAGCTTTCGAATCGCTGGGTGGGCGATGAGCTGGGGACAACAGGCTGGCTGCTCACACCAGCGCGGGGCTCGAACTAGCACAGTTCGGATGTTAAGACAGTGGGATATACCCACTGTGCCACCGCTCTGCATGCCAAGCAGAGCGTTCTGCCTTCTGCATGCCAAGCAGATGCTCTACCACTGAGCCATGGCCCCTCCCCAGAAAGGAGGCTTCCTTCTGGGCCAGAACTGTTCCACGCTTACCCAGGATGACTGTGAACGACGACGGGCTGATCACATCCGAGCTTTGGAGAATGGGGTTCTCTGGATCCAGGTCGTTGTGGAGACAGTGAGCGGCGGTCACAATCCACCTGTTGCCTGGGAAAGAAGAATGTGCTGATTGTTCCTTCAAGGCATCTAAGACCTTCATCCATTTGGTCAAAAATGGAAGGCGGAAGGCCATCCAATATCACAAATGGACGTGCAATGCCATCTTAAGCAGAGGTGACCCATGTATAGTACACACGTGGTTTTTCTTTATGTATGCATCGAGTAATTCTCATGCATGTTGCATTCGACACATATGGGGGGTTTCTGTATCTAGCATTTGCTCCACGTTCTCTCTACTGGGAGGAAGACGTGCAGTTTGGAGGAGCCAGTTTGGTGCAGTGGTTAAGTGCGCGGACTCTAATCTGGGAGAAGCGGGTTTGATTCCCCACTCCTCCACTTGCACCTGCTGATGTGACCTTGGGTCAGTCACAAGCTCTGGCACAGCTGTCCTTGAAAAAGAGCAGTTTGTGTCAGAGCTCTCTCAGCCCCACCCACCTCACAGGGTGTCTATTGTGGGGAGAGGAAGGGAAAGGAGTTTGTAAGCCGCTCTGAGACTCCAAGGGAAGGGCGGGGTATAAATCCAATCTCTTCTTCTCTTCTTCTTCTTCTTCAGTTCAAAACCACATTCAGATACCCCAGGCCAACAGCAGTACAGACTGCAAAGTCACCCCTAAGCGGCCATAAAACGGCCACAAATCTATGCAGAAGGTACAATAAAACCCGATGATCAAAGAAAGTGAAAGCTGGCATGGAGTGCGGAGGGTACCATAAAATCTGATGATCAAAGGAAGTGAAGGCGGCATGCAATGCAGAGGGGAATTTCTGTTCCAACATGGGTTTCGTAAAACAACTGTTTCTGTCCGGCGCTAGCTCAGCGCTTTCTAGGTGTGAGCAAACCCACAGCCAAACTGAAAGACTTAAATCATCTTTATTCTTCACATGCATTCAGAAGATCATTACTCACAATCTAAGCTGATGGCTGGGTGGAAAAGTTACATCTTGTGATTTAGGTCAATTCTATTGCCGTGCTGAGAAAGAGATGAGTTTTCCCCTCTCCTTGCGGTAAGGATAGACAAAGAAAACGGGAAAGAACTATAAAATTCCTATCTTCACGCCTCTGAGCTCAGGAAATTACCCTTAATGAGCCAGTCAGAGGGATGCTTTTGGGACACTTAACTAAGGACTACATTTCGCAGGGGCAACTGCTCGAAGAAGAAGAAGAGGAGGAGGAGGAGGAGGAGGAGGAGATTGGATTTATACCTTGCCCTTCACTACTCAAAGGTGTCTCAGAGCGGCTGACAAACTCCTTTCCCTTCCCCTCCCCACAACCCCTACCCCCCGTGAGGTAGGTGGGGCTGAGAGAGCTCTGGCAGAAACTGCTCTTTTTCAAGGACAGCTCTTATCATAAGAACATAAGAACATAATGTTGGATCAGGCCAAAGGCCCATCCAGTCCAACACTCTGTGTCACACAGTGGCCAGAAATACCAGTGCCATCGGGAGGTCCACCAGTGGGGCCAGGACATTAGAAGCCCTCCCACTGTTGACCCCCCCAAGCTCCAAGAAGACAGAGCATCACTTGCCCCAGAGCCCCTATCTATACCTTGTGGCTAATAGCCACTGATGGACCTCTGCTCCATATGCTTATCTAATTCCCTTTTGAAGCTGTCCATGCTTGTAGCACCCACCACTTCCTGTGGCAGTGAATTCCATGTGTTAATCACTCTTTGGGTGAATAAGTACTTCCTTTTATCCGTTCTAACCCGACCGCTCAGCAATTTCATGGAGTGCCCACGGGTTCTTGTATTGTGAGAAAGGGAGAAAAGTACCTCTTTCTTTACCTGCTCTTTCCCATGCATAATCTTATAAACCTCGATCATGTCACCCCTCAGTCGTCTTTTCTCCAAGCTAAAGAGCCCTAAGCGCCTTAACCTTTCCTCATAGGGAAAGTGTTCCAACCCTTTTATCATTCGAGTTGCCCTTTTCTGCACTTTTTCCAAAGCTATAATATCCTTTTTAAGGTGTGGTGACCAGAACTGCACACAGTATTCCAAAGGAGGTCGCACCATTGATTTATGTAGGGGCATTATGATATTGGTTGACCTGTTTTCAATACCCTTCCTAATAATCCCCAGCATAGCATTGGCCTTCTTTACTGCAGTCACACACTGTCTCAACAGTTATCTCCTTTCCCTTCCCCTCCCTATAACAGACACCCTGTGAGGTCGGTGGGGCTGAGAGAGCTCCAACAGGAACTGCTCTTTTTCAAGAAAAGCTCTTATCAGAACTACGGCTTGCCCAAGGTCATCCAGCAGGTGCAAGTGGAGGAGTGGAGAATCAAACCCGGCTCTCCCAGATTAGAGTCCGCGCACTTAACCACGACACCAGACTGGCTGTCTTAAAGATACACAACAGTTTTGCTAAACTACTGTTACCTACAGTTAAAAGCTGACTGGGGGCAGCACACCAGAGGGAAAAGCCAGTGCAGAATCAGCCCCAGAGTGCAACATGAGATTGGAGCCCCACATGTATCCAGGCTCTGGTCCCTGGTTTCATTTGGAAAGTGAACACGGGTTGGCCCTTCCTGACAAGCAGTTGTACGCACATATAGGCATGTGTGTTCACTGCAACACGTGGACAGAGAGGATGCGAGACTCTGGAACGGATGAGGACGTTCTGTGTGAGCCAGGTCACCTTCCTCCAGCGCAGTTCGTGCCAAGGGGATCTTACCTAGAAGTGATCCTCCGCAGAAGGGGTGCCCATTCCTGTGCAGCATGGCGATCCAGGGAGAAATTCCCCGTTGAGCGTAGCGGCCGTTAGCAATCCGGGCCAGCAGACTTCGGGAGAACCGCGGTTTCCCACATACTGAAATAGACGGGAAAGGCATAGTTTAGGGCAGGGGTTTCCAATACGTTGCTGCCGGGCACCACGGTGCCCACCAATACCTTTCTTGGTGCCCACCAAGTTTTTTTTAGAAAGTGGGCTCGATTTTTGGAAACGTTGGTTTGGCAGCAGCTCCCACCATGTGACGTAGCTCTTCACAGTGTGACTGAAGGGAAGCTGCGGCAGCCGTTTTGTGTCTGGCCCTGCCTCCTGCGGAAGCCATTTTGTGGCAGCCATTTTGTGGGTGTGCCCACCATGCTGCGGTGGCTCAAGTGGTTAAGACGCTGAGCTGCAGGCTGTGGAAGGTCAGTAGTTCAGCAGTTCGAGACCTGAGTTGCCGCATGACGGAGTGAGCTCCCGTCTCTCATTCCAGCTCCTGCCAACCTAGCAGTTCGAAAGCAAGGAATTGCAAGTAGATAAATAGGTACCACTTCGGTGGGAATAGGGTTCCGTGCGCCTTGGTGTTTAGTCATGCCGGCCACATGACCACGGAAACATCTTCGGACAGCGCTGGCTCTTCAGCTTTGAAACGGAGATGAGCACCGCAACCCTAGAGTTGGACTCGACTGGCTTTCGAGCAAGGGAACCTTTACCTTTACCTTTTACCACCATGCTGTGTCAGAATTCCAAAGGTGCCTGTAGGCTCAAAAAAGGTCAGGAACCCTTGGTTTAGGAGGAGGAAGGTCTTTGTCATTGCCCCTGCGCACTCAATTGGGACCTTTAGTGCTGTAATGATAAATATGCTTGCTTTTAAACTAGTTTTACTTACTCCCTTGGTAATTCATTCATTAATGACCTCTCTTAAACCACAAGTTATTACAACATGCAGAACAATGGAATCCCCCCAGGACTTAACATGGATATTGGTTTCTTATCTACATATGCTAACCTCATTCAGCCCTTACACCTGTATTCTTACAAATCCCCCTGAAGGGCCATACATCCACTTTATTTTGTTTTATTTCTTATTTGGAATAGTAGATTAGAACGGTAAACTGTTATGTAACATAATAAATAGTAGAAACTGAAATGTATTTCTCTGGTCTGGGGACAGGGGAGATAAATCTGGACAGCCAATTGCCCCACTTTGAAGAAGACACTGTAAAGAACTGACTGTTACCATCATGAGATTTATTCTGGCATCATCCTGTTTTCATGGAGCACTTTACTTTTATCTGTGTTATCTAATGGTTTTATTGCTTATGTTTTATCTGGGCTCTGCCCCTTGTAAGCTGTGCTGAGCCCGCTCGTAAGGAGGGCAGGGTAAAAATGTCAAAAATAAATAAATAAATAAAGTCACCTCCATGCTTGAGAGGAGACGGATGAAGCGTAACTACAGGGTCTCTCAATTAATTACTCTCAGCATCCCGCAATTAAGGATACATCTGCCCCTCCATCTCCAATTCTGACATATTTATTTCCTTCAATGTGTCCTCCCCCTGGAATTAAACCCAAACAAATGGTAACCACAGAATATGAGCTTGTTATTCCTGTTTGGTCCTTGAATCTGTCAAACACCTTCATTCTGCTGCATGCTAATTTACTGCTCGCCCTCTGCCTATATGTATGGACTGGTAACTTCCACTTCATCGTATCTGAAGAAGTGTGCCATGCACACGAAAGCGTAAACCTCGGATAAAACTTTGTCGGTCTTAAAGGTGCTGCTTGACTCAGACCTTGTTCCTCTCTTAAACCACAGTAAGGGTAACAAGTCCTGGAAATACCGATAAGGCATTGTTAGGCTACGTGTTCGGACTAGACATATCCCAGTGCGCATCCATATGTGGGGGTCCCCTGCAATGCTCCCTCTAAGCCATGGAGTCTTGTGAGCAAAAATTGTACTTTGTGAGCTACTGGCATTAGAGTTGTGAGCAGGCGATTTGGCAGCTGCATAAATTAGTTTGTTCTGGAGCCATCCTTCCTGAGCGAGGACAAAAATGTGTGAGCCGGAGGCTGAAAAACTGTGAGCTGGCTCACACTCACTCAGCTTAGAGGGGACACTGGTCCCCTGTACCAGTCAGTGGCATGACCATATTCATTTCTCACAACGAGAAGCCCCTTTGACAGAATCCAGGAGACACAGAGATTTGTACGTAATGACAGTTTTATTCCTGTCCCATTAAGGGTAATAATACAAAATAGCAGGCATACTGTAAAACAAAGTACAAAATCCTTATCGGTGTAGTATCTCTTAAATACGCAACAAGCACATATTGTAAGATAAGACTCCTTTTCTCTGGATGGGTTCTCTGCCCACTTTTTTTCTTGCACTATATTCTACTCAAGTTGAAGAAGAAGAGGAAGAGATTGGATTTATAACCCACCCTTCACTACCCAAAGGAGTCTCAGAGTGGCTTACAATCTCCTCTCCCTTCCCCTCCCCACAACAGAAACCCTTGTGAGGTAGGTGGGGCTGAGAGAGCTCTCATGAGAACTGCCCTTGAGAGAACAGCCCTGATATTGGATTTATACCCCACCCTTCACTACGGTTTGGCCAGTTGTATGCACGTCTCAGAGTGGCTTACAATCTCCTTCCCCTTCCCCTCCCCACAACAGACACCCTCTGAGGTAGGTGGGCTTGAGACAGCTCTCCTGAGAACATCGAGGGTCTGACCTCAGCTATCCCGCTGTTTCCTGTTTCGTTTAGAGCAGGGCTTCTTTTGTTAAAAAAAAGCCCAGCAGGAACTCATTAGCATAATAGGCCACACCCAACAGCAGAAACTCATTAGCATATTAGGTCACACCCCTGACAGCACAGCTCATTAGCACATTAGGCCACACCCCCATGTCACCAGAAGTGTGGTCATCCAGCCACACCCACCTTTTGCTTCTTATTCTGTTTACTTTGTTGTCAAAACCCTGGGCTTTTTTTGTAGCAGGAACTCCTTTGCATGTTAGGCCACACACCCCTAATGTAGCCAATCCTAATGAGTTTCTGCTGTTGGGTGTGGCCTATTATGCTAATGAGTTCCTGCTGGGCGTGGCCAACTCGGGAGCCAGCCGGAACTCCCTTCTTGTGCGTTCCTGCCCCAAAATAGCCCTGGTTTAGAGCCAAGGAGGTTGTTTCTTCACTCCGTTTTAGAGAAGAAACCCCCAGGACCCTCATGAGTCACAATGTCATGTGGAGAGCCGGCGTGGTGGAGTGGTTAAGAATGGCTCCTCCTCCACATGGAGCCTGCTGGGTGACCTTGGGCCTGTCACGGTTCTCTCAGAACTCTCTCAGCCCCACCTGCCTCACAAGGTGCCTGCTGCAGGGAGGGGAAGCGAAGGCGACCGTAAGCCACTCTGAGACTTGTTCGTGTAAAGGAAAGTGGGGTGTAAAAACAGACTCTTTTTCTTGTCGTTGTTTCCTAAAAGGGATACCCTCTGCTGGCCACTTGGGGTAAAAGTCCAGGGCTACTTTTGGGCAGGAACGCACAGGAACGGCGTTCCAGCACACCCAGTGGTGCTCAGAGCAAAACAGAGGCAGGAAATCATCTGTTCTTACTTGTGCATCCTAGCTGAGGATTGCACAATATTTTGATATCGCAACACAGACAAAGGAAAAGTTCTATGTAACTCACGAACACATGGAACTGGCTTATACTGCAACAGACCCTTGGGTCCATTAGAGTCACTGTTGTCTACTTGGACTGCCAGCGGCTCTCCAGGGTCTCAAGCAGGGGTCTTTCACATCATCTACTACCAGATCTTTTAACTGGAGATGCCGAGGATTGAACTTGGGACCTTCTGCATGTCAAGCAGAGGCTCTACCACTGAGCCACAGCCTCTCTTTACAGCAATCCAGGTTCTCAGGTAGAGGTCTTTCACAGCAACTAACTGCCAGATCTTTTAACTGGAGATGCCGGAGATTGAACCTGGGACCTCCTGCATGCCAAGTAGAGGCTCTGCCACTAAGCCAAAGCCCCTCTCTACAGCTCTCCAGGGTCTCAGGTTGAGGTCTTTCCCACCACCTCCTGCCTGGTCCTTTTAACTGGAGATGCCAGGGATTGAACCTGGGACCTTCTGCATGCCAGGCAGAGGCTCTTCCACTGAGCCACAGCCCCACTTTACAGCTCTCCAGTGTCTCAGGCGGAGGTCTTTCCCATCACCTCCTGCCTGGTCGTTTTAACTGGAGATTCCGGGGATTGAACTTGGGAGTTGGGACCTTCTGCATTCCAAGCAGAAGCTCTACCACTGAGCCACAGCCCCTCTTTACAGCAATCCAGGTTCTCAGGCAGAGGTCTTTCACAGCCTCTAACTGCCAGATCTTTTAACTGGGGATGCCGGGGATTGAACCTGGGAACCTCCTGTATGCCAAGTAGATGCTCTGCCACTGAGCTACAGCCCTTCCTATAATCCAACAGCTTGCTTACCTTTCCACCACCAAAGTTTCATGTAGAAGAAGCTCCCCTTTTTATTTAGAATCATACAAACATAGAATCACAGAGGCCATCTAACCCTAACCCCCTGCTCCATGCAAGATCAGCCTAGAGCAGTGGTGGCGAACCTATGGCACGGGTGCCAGAGGTGGCACTCAGAGCCCTCTCTGTGGGCACGCGTGCAGGGGTGTTGATCGGAAAACGTGCCCATCTTAAAGGGGAGCATCTACCAGAAGCCAAGGCTCTAAGCTCTTGCATCTCAATGTCAATTAATCTCTGTTTGAGCAGGGCAAAGATGTGTACTTCAGATAAGGACATCATATCATTCAAGCATAAGCCTATTGAGACGATTTTCCTTTCTATAGCAGCAAACCACTCAGAACAATGAGACTCTTCCAACAGATATGTAATAAGGCTATTGGGACAGTTCCTAAAATGCAGACGTGACCAAAAATCAGAAAGTAACTATCCAAGCCCTTGTTTCCAAGTGTATCAAATTGGCTTCTAAACAAATAGCAGCATAAGGAACGCACAGAGGCAGCCCTAGTATTTTCCTCACAAAATTGGATTGAAGTTGTTCCACCCTTTTGTTAAAAGCAGTGATCCAAATGGGCACCCCAT